GGTATCGATATAGTAATTTATGATTTTTTTGGTTATTTCCAATGTATATGTAAAGCCTAAAAAATTATTTTGTTTCACTTCTTCCATGTGTTAAATTTTATATGGCTTAGGGACCTACAGCAAGCAGCAAACGAGTACAAAGTTCGTAACTAGAAGAGATAATTGTTTACTTTACTTCTTTATTTACTGTTCTATGTTTTTAAAGAAAAATAAGTTTAAGAATTTATTTATGAATAGTAATAATGTATATACATATATTATGTATTATAACTGAAATGTGACTGTAGTTTTTAAAAATAAAAGTCCACTAAAACACAGCCAAGACAGGTCATTTTGTAAAAATCAGTTTTATATTCTTGGATACAGTAACACGAGTGCACATGCACCACATGATTGCAATAAAAATACTAAATATATATAAATGTATAATGTTATGACATTTAAGTTATTTAGATTAAACATTTGTGTTTCAGTTATAATTTGTAGTCATTCTAGAATGAAAAAAAAAAGCATAATTTATATTTATTTCCAAATTTTTTGTGATGGTTATGAGAACAGTCAAATCTACTGAACCTGTACAAAGATTTGAGAGTAAAAATAACAAATAAAATATAATTTTTTTTTGTTAAAGAAATGTTTGATAATTATCTGGAGGTTATAAATATTTTGCATGTGAAATTTGAAAATTCTCTAATGCATAAAAGTATTTTTAATTTCAAAATGAAAATTACTTTGCATGTTGGATAGGCAACATATGAAAAGAAAAAAAGACACGAGAAAAACATTACTTAAAAAACCTCAATACTTAACCAAAAAAATCTGATATTTTGTGGACGAAAGCTTTGTAATGTTTACTGACAATCTGCTAAATTTTGTGAACATATGCTTACTAATTTCAAAGTTATAACATGAAAACTGTAACAAGCACAAAATGGTTACCAGGTTAGTCCCAGTGAATGAGCCTGCGAAGAAAGAGTTAAGCACCCATGTAAAAGTCCCCATCTAGCATACCACCAGCAATTTAAAAGTCCCAATTAAGTGGTTAAAACCATGAAGGGTACTCATGTGGATATAAAAACAACTGGATTTCACAAAACTTTCTTGACATAGTTTTTAGAAATTAATGACAAATTTATTGAATTATATCCTAAGGTATTAGACTTAATAATCAATTAAATATATTAAAACTAAAATTAAAATATAAAGCAATTTTAAAAGTCAATAAAAATTTCAAATAAATGTTTCTTAGCAGTAACACTCAACTTCTGGAGAATTTTTTTTTTGGCTTTACATACATGTGCTACACTGTTACTGAAAAGTAATCATTTAGCACTCAAACAACACTTCATAAAACAGTAATCATTACAGAAAATTAAAAAATTCACTGAAAAAAAGTTATTAAAATAGTTAATTTGGATTAGAAATCAACATGACTAGTAGATAATACATACTCTAACAGAGGAGATAGTATTCCTTGGCCGAGAACATAATCTCTAAATTCAGGGCTGTCACCAGCTATGTTACCTAAGGCCCATACTGCCTTAGAGAAGAGCAGTAAGCTCATATTCCAGGTTTGAAGAGTGCTTCTGAATAAAAAGAAAATTCTAAATTAGAAAATTTATGCATGTAATTAGGTCTTCTACAAGAAATTAATATTACCAAAATATTTAAAAAGTTTTTGTTTTGAAGTAAGTACTAAAAGTAAAAATATTTTGATCCTCTCAAAAACTTGTAAAATTTCTCTTATAATCAAACATAATGATAATTCTGTTTGAAAATTGTAATTGCTTGATACTAAAGTGCTAACTTGAATTAAGAGGCAAGATTGACTGTTGTATCCCATAAAATGTTTTAAGAAATAAAAAAATATGCATGTGATTAATTTTTATGCTACTTCAATGATATTTGACTACAATGATTATTAAGAGTGGCAGGAAAATAAAAGCAATTTAAGAAAGATGAAATATGCTTTAATAAGATAGGAGTGTTCAGCTGTTCAATGGGATTAGCTAAAAATTAAGCTTTGAATGGATACCTGTCTTGCTCTTACATTTTATCATGATTAAGATAGTTGAAACTATTGGTTCCAGTAAGATAGCTTCAGGAAGTGGATTCTGGTTGTTTTACTATATTACTACTGTTTCACTTCATATATATTTAATTTTAGATTGGTATTGAAATAGTTTTAACACACGTATCTCTAGCTGCTAAATCAAACTGCCAAGATGATAGATCTCAAGAGATGATCCATATTGTGGCTTTTAGAAGATTATACATCAAAACTGGATGTAACTGGTGATTTGAAAGTGTTGTTAGTAACAGTGCTCTTGCTTTTTAGTTCTCTCAGGAAGCAAGGAATTTTAAAATTAAAATGGCAGTTGTGCATATATAGATACACACAAAATTCAAATGACTGCAACATCAAAATAATTACACAATAAATAATTTAATAAAAACAGGGACCAGCCTTAAAAAGACTATATGTTTCTTATTTTTAATAAGTTATTTATTGTACAATTATTTTAATATTGCACTCCTTTTTAATTGTGTACTAGCCACGACTCACAAAACATTAGTAGTAGTTTTCATGACCTTCACTTGAATTTTCCTTATTCTGTCATTTTCATGCTTTCTTGCAGGCATTGCGTGTTAGATCAATAAATCCTGGTCTGTTTTGAAAACATTTTACGCGATCAGACAAAAAAAACTCCCGCATACAAACTTCATTTCATAAAACTACACATAAACAATGAAGTATATTATTGGTATTAATAATAGTGTAAAGAGTATGACACAGTTATGAGCGTTTAGTGTAAGGCATGGTTTTACGAGTTAAAACAAAGAAACTAAAAAAAAATGAAGAATGAAACCTGTACTAAAGTAAAAAGTAGCTAAAAGGTGTTTATAGCAGTCTATGAAATGAACCAAAACTAAAGTATTGCAAAGTAAAATAAATGTAAAGTTGTAATGACGGCAAATTTAGCTGAATATGCAGAAATATCTGAATGTGTGTTCACAAAGTGATAATCATATGGTTTTGAACAAATTGCACCTGAATATTTTAGACCTAAATAAGTCAAGAAAGCCCATAGCAATTGTATTTAGTATATTTTTTTTTTTAGAAAATTACACACAGGTTAGGAGTAGTTTGTGTGAAATACTTTGCAATTAAAAATCTACAGTTGAAATTGAAACCAATCATCACTTGATGATGACAACAACATTGTATCATAATGTAGCATACTCATTGCATTAAGAAGTTTGACAAAGCAAAGAAACATGTAAGATGATACTGAATGGAAAAGCCAATATGCAATCCAGACTCCTTGGAGAAAGGCCTTTTTAATGATATGAGATTGTAGTGTTTGATGGAGAAATGTGTGAGAAAAGTTCCAGACAGACAGACAAACGCAAATGTATTATTTATATAGATGCACTGAATTTTTTCTTTTGATATTGGTTAGTTAGAACACAAAATCAACTTTTCAATTAAGAAGAATTAAAAAGAACAGAATACATCTTTTAAAAGTGGTTTCATATAATAAGACAATTCCATTTTCGTTGTGTAAATATGTTATAACTATGTTTAAAACATGAAACACACATTCTTTAAGATCAATAGCAACTTCTATGTTTAAAGAATATAGAGGTTTACAAGATGTTTTTGCAAATAAAAAACTGAGATAAAGAGCAAGGAATCCAAACACAGAAAAAGATACAACTATCAAGAACATAAATGAACAAATTTTTCCAATTATTTAACATAATTACAAAAAGGCTGCAAAATACAATTAAGAAGGTGGAACTGATTTTTTTTCTTCTTAAACATAGACTTGTAAATACCAATTATTTATACTAACAGTTCACATAAATTTATTACAATCAAAATTTCTGTAGGTTTACCTGTTCTTGAACATCTTCATAGTCTGATGACAGAAGGTGAACAAAAACAGGAACAGCACCAGCTTCAATAACTACTCTTGTTTGTTGTGAAGTACCAGATGCCACATTAGTCAAAACCCATGCTGCTTCAAACTTCAAACAAAATTAAAAATTAGACAGTGAATTTGTATTAGCCATAGACTATGAAAGTTTTCTTCATATAATAAAGAAACTTAGTAACTTACAAACTTAGTATCAAGAGATATAGCAATAATTCCCTTTATAAATATTCACTGACGTTTTTAAGTAGCAAGATGTTTTAAAAGAATACTGATATAATTACAAAGTGTAAGCTTCCTGACAAATTGAAACATACATTCAGCTATTAACAAAATTCATTCAAGAGATAAAATGCAAGCAAAATAGACTGAAGCATGAGCACTGTTTCATAACTACTTTGCATGATTGATAATTTATATTAAATTCACCCTTACTAAATATCAAAAAATGCATGAATGAAGTCTCTGAAAAACAATTTAAGTAATTTTGCTAATAACTTTCTAAATTGCATTATTTTTAGAAAACTTTAAACTATAAAAAATTTATTAAACCATTTTTATGTTTGGCTTTGTGGTGTTTAATTCTGTTCACAATATATTATTTACAAAAGCTCTGTCACGTAAACATTTAGGCAAGTTTTAATTTGTAAGATTTTTTTTTATATGAGTCAGAGAATAAGATGTTTTTTTGACAACATACATTATTGGATATCAGTAACATCTATCATTAAAATTTACTAAAAAGCTATAATTCAGCTTGAAATTTTTCATTACAATTAACATATAAAATTGCTTTTACTACCACTAAGATATGAGAAAATGAAAGGATTTTCAACTGTCATTAGAATTAACACATCAAAAGATTCCAAGCTAATTCCCTGAAGGTAGTTCAAATCAAACATTTTACAAAAGTAGCAGAGCATAGCACATTAAATATTTTGTCTCTATGCTCAACCTGTTTTGAGAAAACTTGTCCCCAGTTCCTAAACATGAATATTAGAGAATGTGGTGTTATCTATTAGTAAATTACTAGTGTTTAATCACAGGAAAAAACAACTATATAAATTTGAGCAAGTAATCTAGGACACACATCCAAACTCCCTTTCAAATAGTAAATGTAGTTTCCTGTTTTGAACAAAAACCTACATGTCCTTAAAAAGTTTTTATGTAAATCTGTGGATCAAGTCCTGAGAGTATCCCAAGACCCTTTGACCCCAATATGAGGGCTTCAATTATAAAATTTCGAAAAATCTGAAATTATTTTCTGAATAGTCTTTTTACAGCTTTTAAGTAAATTGGTTCAGTCAAATTTCAGAGCCACCAAAAGCCCCTTGATACTCTATTTTATGGTCCTCTCAAAATTTTTTATACACTAATTTATATACTTCTGAGGGCCAACAACCTACATATTGGAAAAATTCAAAGCATTCAAATAAACACTGAAACATCTGAAATTAATAATAAAGTTTTAAATCTTTTTTGAAACCAGCTAGTCATACAAATTTAAAATCAAAAGATGATAGTACTGTTTAACTGAACACGAAGGTAATGAAAGATTTACAGGTAACAAATGTGGTCATTCAGCCAAAAGTGAAATGACTATTAAGTCATTTCTTAGTAGAAATTGTACAGTAAGCACAAGTGTATTATTCTTAACAGCTAAAAGGCCTTCCCTAAATATAAGTTGAATAACAACTGAATAAAGTAATATTATTTCTGGTAATTTATAGTTTTCTCAATATAACTGTATTTGCATTCAACCTTTAAAATAATTTTTAATTGATGGTTTGCTTTTAAAAATATTTTTCACTTACATAAATACACACTATAGGGTACTGGCTTAATCAAAATTACTACTGATTGTTACCTGCAACATATAATTATCACTTCTTTGAAGAAACTCCACAAATTTTGATATGATTCCAGTGTGAATTACCTCATCAATTGGTGGATTAGGTTCTGAAAACATTTAAAAATTGTTACATATTTTGCCCAAAGGTGGAAAATAGTCAGATTAAATGGACTTGCTGACCAATTATGTACAATACAATTTAAAAACTGAAGTGAAAATTTCTTGAGTACAAAGTCATCAGACATCTAATATTCATTTACAACATACTTATAAAGGTTAAACTTTTAATTTCAATAGTTTTAAGATATCTATGTTTATATTCATATTTTAAATTCCACAAAATCTTCAATTTCGAGCACTTTTGTAAGAATGATTTGCATAAGCTAATTCAATGGTGTATGTTGCTCCAACATGTATGGCAACAAATAATTGGAAAGTGTAATATGGCCAAGGATAAATTCATGGCTAAACAAATATGTAATAAGGAAGAATAAGCGTATAGCAAGATTTCTAAATAGTGTAGAGCCAAATGACACAACATTTCAAAGAAGCAGGATTTCATTATTCTTCAAATTAAAACTCAACAGCAGAGTAGATATAACAACAGGCTCTGAAAGATAACCTCTAGCCAATCCAGATCAATGCCCTCGTCCGCAATGTGAAGGTTTGTGTTACAAAAGAAAACTCTGTACCTAAAAAAAAAAAGCCATTGTGATAAAGCTGAGCATACTTCCTGATACCATGAAAAGAAAATACAGATGTACATCTAACAAATGCTCATGTATCAAAATCAATTACTGCTTTTATGTAAAAGGTTGCCAAAGAAACTAAATTCACACCCATGTTATTTAATGATTTATACATCAAGTTACAAATGCAACTTCAATGGATATTTCTGCTTTTGGTTTGCTTGATATTGGTCTTGGAATCCAATGTCTACAATAACTTAGAAAAAAAAATGAAAATTACTGTACATAGAGAACATAATACATATTTCAACTGGTATGTAAGATTTCAACATAAAATACTTTCTATTATGCTTAACAATCTTTGTTGGTCAATTTACTAAGTTTTTACATTCTGTCAAGATGTGGGATGTAAGTTTAATCTCAATGTCTTTCACAGAAGTTTATGAAAATGTAAATCAAACTGAGCATAATGAATGATGAAGAAAGTAGTTCCAAGGACAATACTCAACCTGTAATATCATTCTTATAAAATGCAATTAACCCTTTCTGCACGGACTCAGTCCCACAGACCAACCTTGTAACCATTTTCTGCTTGTTATCGTTTTCATGCTACAACTTTTAAATTAGTACAAATATCTTCATGAAATTTTACAGATTATCAGTAAATATTACAAAGATTTCGTACAAAATATATCAGATTTTTTTATATTAAATTTTAAGAAATGTTTTTCTCATGCCTTTTTTCTTTTCAAATGTTGACTATCCAACATGCAAAGAATTTTGATCTTAAGATTAAAAATACTTTTATGCATCATAAAATTTTCAAATTTCAGATGCAAAATCTTTATAACCTCTAGATAATTATCAAATGTTTTTTAGGAAAAAATATTTTTATCTGGTATTTTCGCTAAAGAATATCTGTCCTGGTTCGGTCGATTTGACCTGTCTTGGCTGTGTTTCAGTGGATTAGTATTTTGGAAAATACAGTCACATTTCAGTTACAATATATTATATATGTATATACATTGTTACTATTCACAAATAAGTTCTTAAACTTATTTTTCTTAAAACACAGAACAGTAAATAAAAAAGTATAACAAACAATTATCTCTTCTAGTTACGAACTTTATACTCATTTTCTGCTTGCCATAGGCTGCTAAGCCTTATCAAATTTCACACATGGAGGATGTGAAATGAAATAATTTTTTTAGGTTTTATAGATACATTTTGAAATAATCAAGTATCGTAAATTGCTATATCAATTCCACTACAATTTATCAAGATCAGTAACTAAGCTGTACTTGGGTCTAAAAAAATATGAAATTTTAAGCACACTAAAGTCTTACCTTACCACTTAGAATGTAGCAAAAAAAAGAAAGAGTTTATTGCCCAAATATTTCAAAAAAGCTGAGAAAGCCACTAGAGGGACATTCTGAGTTTTCAATTGGTTATTCATGGCACAGATAAAAGTCGGTAAATGTATTGATATCTCAGCAAATAGAAAAGATGGGAGGTTCTTATTTTATATTCTAGCTTATCAATATTGGTAATTTGAGTTCCTAATTTGTAAGAAACTGTAGACTTTGTTATTTGGACATCACAAACATCTAATTTGAACCAATGCTGCATTCAACATACCACGTGACACACAAAAATTGATATTTAGGTGTGTTTTTAATATCTACTATTGAATTAAAAAATTAACTAATGTATCATACTAAAATTTGAAATATAATCTACAATTTGATCCCAAACTTATTGAATGAATTCATGAAATAATAGTTCAATAAAATTGTGAATGTGAGTCAACAAATTCGATGACATGGCCTTTGATCCATGACCCATGTCAATAGGGTTAAATTTGAGTATTAAATAAGCAAACAGAATGACACTTGTTGAGAAAGTAACACAGATGGAAAGAATGAGACTTCCAGGTTTTTTTTATTGATGAGTGTTTTTCCTGTCTGATTTTGATGTCATAATCATTTGCATATAAGATATTACTGTGCTGTTTTCCTTTATTTGCAGACAGAATTTTGATAGTGTTGTCCCATTTTAGGTAATTCAAGGTGGTAAGTTCCTGTTTAATAATGTTGGCATTTCTGAGGATAAGTCTGATGTCCAAACTGTTCTGTCACAAGTTCTGGGAGTTTTTAGCCACAGATTAAACCTGAAGTCTTTTGAAACATTATCCTTTTTATCTGCGTTACTTTTGTAGATTAATTCTCCAAGACTTTCTCCACAAGTGTCACACCAAACTATGTAGTTCATTTCACCTTTGTTTGTTCAGTTGTATTCATTTATTAACCAATATCTTTTGAATAGTAACAAACATGAAAGTCAATATCAACATAGCATGACCTTAATTTTGTTTAAGTACTTAAAAAACAAATCATATTTGCACCAAGTTTTGTATAAAGTGATTTTGATAGCTCCTTACCTTACCATTAATAAAGAACCCTCTACAGAAATAAAAAAATGCTTCATTTGTTAAAAGAATACACCATTGAAAAGAGAATATGTAACGTGTAATTATATGAGTATAATTTGTTTCAGGATTCACAATCCAAAGCAGATTCTAGACCAAATTACTAAATATAAAACAGAAAGTTGAAAAACAAACAAAATCAAGCAAAAAAACAAGAAATTCAAAGTATTTATTCATGCATAAACAATATATTGCTGGGGCATTAACTGATCAGTTTCACTGTTCAGTTTAATACATACAGAATTTTAGTAGTAAAGGATTTTAGTAAAATACCTATTACTTTTTTTCTTTTTTGCTATACTGAAAACATACTGACTCACCTCTAGAAAGAAGTTTCCTAAATTTCTGAGTAGCATTAAGCTGTTGTTCTGTGTCATTACTATAAATGGCAGCTACCACTTCAGGTGTAATCAAAAGCTGAAAAATGTATTGTATGAAAGCTATCATATGAAATTTTGTTGTAAAGGTTTAAGTGAATGTTATGAATTTAGATATTACAATAAATAATTCATATAATTTACTACTTTTTTCTGTTACCCAAATGCTAACCCTTATTAGCTTGTTTTAATATATCCTTGAAACTAGACTAATACTCTCTTTATCTGTCTAGTCAACTTCCTGAGATGGGGATCATTATCAAAGTCAATGTCTTATGATAGAAAACATGCTTATCATCTATCCTATTTATGAGGCAAACAGAAAAAGTCCATCATCTTTAAACTGGTCAATGCATGTCATATCAACTGTTTTCTGCACACAATTTTATTGCCCAGTTTGTTTTAAAAAATCAGTATCAAATAAAGGAGGATTTCATTGACTAAATGCCTACTTGACCAATTTATAGAATCTTAGTATTATAATAAAGATGATCCAACATCACATATCCAAGGAATAAATTTTCAAACAATTATAACAAAAAAGAAAGATTAACAATAGTCAATGACTTCATTTTTAAGTTCCAACACATATACATATATATTAAGTCACTGTTAGCTTTGTAACGTTATAAAATTACAAAGTGCAGAAAGTTAGGATGTGCTTTTACCCATTTCAATAACCTTATATGCATGGGACAGGCCCATTGAACTTAGCTCATAACAGAGAATTAATGCTTGCCATAATTCTTAAAATATTTAGAATCTATATACATCTTCATGAAATTTTTAGTAAATATAAAAATTTTATTGTGAACTAAATATCAGAATTTTTAATAAAGTATTTTTACAAAATATTTGTCTGTGAATTGTCTGAAAGGGTAAACCCAAAATAAATATAAATTACTCATTTTTTATTCTTTCTATAATTACTGCATATTGTGACAAACAATTACATACTACTTGTTCCTAAAGCCAAAGCTAATTCTTTTCAAATTGGTTTCATTTATTTTTACTGTTTTACAGCTGCACTTAGACCCTATCAAAGTATGCTGAAAATATTAGGTCATCAAGAAATTAATGTCGCATTTTGGAACCACCCCCCCCAAAAAACCTACATAACGTATAATACTTAAACCTAAACATCACATTAGTCTACCCTATATAATGTGTAAGGTTTAGTATACTCTAATCCCTTATAGTGATGGCACACGACAAGACACACATTCAGCATGTAATGCTGTTTGAATACAAGAAGGGAAACAATGCCTCTGTAGCCATAAAGAATATCAAAGAAGTTTATGGAAATGTTTTTTGCTTCAAAGCCAAGTGATTTCTTTAATCAAAGCATTAACAACCCGATTGTAAGATGGAAAAGCATCATCGATAAGAATGGAGACTATATCATTTAATAAGTGTTTTGTTTTGATATACAAGTTCAGGTTTTTTCATCTAAAAAGAAGCGACATTAATTTCTTTATGACCTAATATATTACAGAAGGACAGCTTTACGTAAACAAACAATTAAATTACCAGGACACACAGTAATTTGTAGCCTTGCAAAGTGATCATGCTATCATACATAATTTTTTAATCAATTTTTTGTTTCACTGGATAACCTAACATTTTTATCATTTTTTACATTTAATTACTTTTGTTAAAGAATATATATATATCAATAAATAAAAAGTATAGATAAAAACAAGAAACTTGCCATTGTTTATAGAAATATTTGTACTCAAGAACGTATTACTTTTTTTCACGCTATGTTGGTTGTCCAAAAAATAATGTAGCTTTTGAATATGTATTTTAAAAACAACACTTCAAACAGTAAAACAGAATGCCCCAAAACTACAATAATTTATCTGGATTCTAACAAACTATAAATAGGTTAGAGAGATTTCATATCTTACCAGAGCATCAACTTCAATCTACACCTAATAAAATCTGCAAGGGAAATGGTGCCTTTTACCAAACTAAATTAACATAGAATCACCATAATCATGTTGTTCAAAAAATGGCCTTTCTGTTGGTTATGAATATGTACCAATGACAAGCAAGTGTGAGTAAATATGTAATTTCAAAAGCATGAAAAGTTGGGAGGAACTTTTGTGGGGGGGGGGGACACAAAAATTGATTGATATCTCAAGAAATAAAGAAGGAGGTTCTTATTTTAAATTATATCCTATCTATAGTTGGTGTATCTAACTGGTGGACATCCTGAAATCTGTATAAGGGAAGAAATAAAACTAAAATAGAGAATTCTGAGAAGAGGTATCACGACACAAGATATGAAGGATACAAAGTTATTTAAATATTTCCTTTATAAATTAAAAAAAATAAAACTTGTGTGATAATAAAATCTGAATTATAAACTATGTTTTGATGCAAAATTTATTGATAGTAAAGTTGTCTGATTCAATTCTGATTGTAACTCTGTAAAAATTCATGATAAGCATACTTTGACTCCCATATATATAATAAAATTTCTGTTACAAGCTTCCAGGATCTGAGTATTTTTGTATGGATCTTATCTGTTGTTTCCAAAGCCTGTGTTCTTTAACCCTATATATACCGTATATATCCATACTCAGATCCTGGAAGCTTGTCACAGAAATTTTACTACAGAAATCAACTGCCCATGGCCAACAGACCTAATTAATGCAGAGGGTGGATAAATGGTCTGACCAGATTATAAAGTGGTTCTGCATCCAAATAAAAAAATAGGATACCAGTCCAGTAGAAGAACTATGAGAGTTTAAAAAGTAATGGCTTATCGATTATGGTATAATAACATTCAGTCACAGAACGAGGTAGTTTAAAATAAATCCTACTTATGGTTGGAAGGTGCAACTGATTTAAAATAGTGTCAATGAAACACAGTCCACAATATAGGAAAAATGGTTAATAAATAATAGTTAGAGAGACCATGGGATAGTCAAAAAGAATCTAAATGAAACCAGTGCACTAAAAAAAAAACTCCTTTCCCAGAAGCAGCTACATGGTTCCATTAAAATTCTCATGCCCTCAAGCAACAGAAAAAAATAAAAAATTGTGTATATTATGCAAAACTATTTCATATTTCATACGTTATTTCTCTGACTTCTCTCTGATATTTCCAGAAAAATCTAGAATGGAAGGTATTTCAGCTCATGGTCTTGTACAAGAATAGCTTTCCACAGAAGACAAAGAAATTATGGTTGTGGTTGTTTTTGAATTTGTGCAAAGCTACACGAGGGCTATCAGCACTAGCCATCTCTAATTTAGCAGTGAAAGACTAGAGGGAAGGCAGCTA